TGATTATCGATCAGCTGATCAAGTAGCAATGTTTGCTTCGAAGTGAGCAAAAGTGGTGAGAAGAAGTCTTTTGATTAATGTTCTTTTCCCATCTGATCTTTAATCAGCTCGCCAAACCGCAACATTGGCTTTGGAGTGAGCAACAGAGGTGAACAGAGGCTGGTTATGAATATTTCTTTGCCATGTAATGCTTCATTAGTATGCTGAGTGACCATGTCTGCTTAGAATTGAGGAAAAGTGATGAACAGAAATTTGGTTATCAATATTTCTTTGCTATGTGATCTTCAATCAGTTAATCAAGTCACAACATTTGCTTCGAAATGAACAAAAAGATGAATAGAAATGTCTTGATGAGTGTTCCTTCGCTATATGATTTTCGATCAGCTGAACAAGCAGCAATGTTTGCTTCGAAGTGAGCAAAAGTGGTGAGTAGAAGTCTTATGATTAATGTTCCTTTGCCATGTTATCTTTGATCAGCTGATCAAGTAGCAATGTTTGCTTCAAAGTGAGCAAAACAGTTGAACAGAAGTGTCGTGATGAATGTTCCTTTGCTATGTGATTTTTGATCAGCTGGTCAACTCATAAAGTTTACTTGAAAGTGAGCAAAACAGATGAATAGAAGTCTTCTGAGTAATTTTTCTTTGCCATGTGATATTCAAACAGCTGACCAAGTCAGAACATTTGGTTCGAAACAAGTAAAATTGGTGAACAGTACTATGATCTCTGTTTTTGCAACATGCATTGATCATGCGCAACAGTGGTCAAAAATAAACTGAAAGCTAAACAAAACAAATGCTTATTAGTAGTTTCTTTGAAGCTGAAATGTAGAGCTCTCATCTCTTCGTTACTTTTAGTACATTAATTCAAAACACATAAATTGTAAAATCTCTAAAATGCGATAGGTCTTTCTCAACGATAATCTATTGCTACCAAGCACCATCTTTTTATTTCTACATTTTAAACAAAAATTTGGTTTCCTTTTTTTGACTGACGCTTCTTTTTCTATTTGTCTTGCTTCTATTTGCTTGAGATTTATTTTATTCTATTTTATTACATTTTCATGATTTATGATTATTAATGTAACGATAGGTTTGACGGACAAACAAGTGTGTTATACATATTCGTTATATCTACATCACGCTTTACCGATTTATGATATATTTCGATAAAGTCAGGAACACTGATAATGATTATTTGTGAAAGTCAGATCGGGTGCGGATGTGGGTGTCAATATCGTCTTCTATTCGCTCGCATTCACCCCACACCCATACTTATATCAATCCATGCTCACCCTCACAACTACACTCGGCACTCATACCCCACACTCACATCTTCATACTCACACCCACAATCCACACCCATATACGTAAGCTATGTGCACAGGGACATGAAAGATGTGACAACGCTCCTATCTATTACTCTATTGGACGTAATGTGTGTAGTCTTGATCGCGTTCTATAGAGAAACTTCTTTTAAGCATGAAGGCACGAAAATCTTGTACAAAGAATAAAATGTAAAATGAAAATTCAGTGTGTAAATTCTGTTCTATTAGGATACCATACACTTTGTTTTGCTAGGTACACTCTTTCATTAAAAACACTGCTCGTAAGACAATATATATGGGTGAGTGTGGGTGTGAAGAGAAAATCCACACATACATCCACACCCTCAGCATTTTATTTTAAAAGAATCACACAAAGTTCTCGTTATTTTCATTCAATGTTTCATTTTGATCTGAAGAAAAAAATGTATCAAAATAAAACTTAGCAATAAAACTGGTTTATTCAGTCATCTCTTTTAATCTTTTAAGTTCTTCCGTAAGTTTAATACAATTCTTGCGCTGTGCATAAAGAATAACTCAGTTTTTACGACTACGGTCTTCAGTACTAATTTGAGTTTCTATTTGATTGCCAAAAACTGGCTCCATAATGTTAATAATTAGTTCCAATGTCAATGTTTCGTTCAAAGTTTTTTCTAATAATTTCTCTGTTATTCCAATCTAAACTAAAAAATTTAGTTTTGTTTATATTTTCAATATTCGTTACTTGATATTCCAATGAAGTATTGTTTGAAGACATTGGAATAATCTAAATCGAAAATCATTCAATTAATACTATCCTATACAGTACGATGTTTTCTTTTTGATGGAGGTACGCATGATTGTAAGAGAAACTGAGAGAATGTTCTAGTCTAACATAGGCTATTAACCATATATGAAATGGCACATATTACTATCGCTTTATTCTGTTCATCCTTTTCTTTTTTGTTGTAAAGGCAAAATTTAGTTTCCTCGTATCTTTTCTGACTATATCAAACCGTGTAGAGTTAGTCAAAAATCGCAAGATCAGTTTTTTTGGACCCTTTCATAATCACACCTCTCACTTTCAAATTTCCTTCACTAGTCACGTATTCACAGATCAATCACTCTTAAAAAAGCATGTTTTTCGTCAACACAAGAAGAGCAGTTTGCGAAAAAAGTCAATGCTATGAATTTTCAGTAACTTGCTCAAACATGTTGATTTTATACATGAGACTCTCTCAGTCCATAGTACTGATACTTGAGCCAGTCATCTTGTCATTTTGGAAGCTCTCAAGTAACTACACGGACTTTTGAAGGTAGAAATGTCGCAGCTGTTTATTTTGTCCTTGAAAGTATTTATCTGTTGTACATATGATGATGCATGTGAGATAATAAAGATGTCAATAGTAGCAAGAAAATGGAGTATCGTGCCACATCCGATCGAAGCGTTTGCTTAAAATATATAAAAACTGAGCTATTTTAATATATACTTCGTCTGTTTTACTTTTGTATTTTACTTTTCTGACTGTGACGACTGATTTCTCGAAGTGATTAAATCACGGTATCGAAGATGGGTGTGGGACGTGAGTGTGTGAATCAATATCTTCTATTCTTCCATATTCAGCCACACCCACACCGACGGCTTTTCTTTCGTTGTTACTGAATTTATTTCCATACGAAATAAATCCTCTAGATAAACTCTTCAATTATTTTCTGATGTTTTTGCATTGCAGCGTCATCTGCGTTCCAATAACATGTTATAAAAAAAATAACAATTGAGGATGAGCGACATTTTCTAATGAGCGACCATTTGTCAATGATGTTTTCACCACAGAAATTGTCCCAGAGGACAGTTTTCCAAGAACGAAATATCGGGAACATTTTTAACGAGGACGAAATGACGAAGGCATTTTAGACTGTATTCAATGAGAGTTATTCATTTTTTGTAACATTCACTTTAATTGACTATATACAAGAGGTTGGCAATGCATAGTTATTCATTCTAGTCTCATTATCTGTTGTTGTTTTTTGTTTCACTGAAACTATTTATATGAATTAAAAGTATAAAATGCCCCGAAAGTCATTAACCGAAAAGCAAACTTTATATTTCGGTCATAATTCTAGAAGATGAACCGGTTTTTATATTAATGATAGAGAACTATTGAAACCTTTTTTCAATGGTATGAATATCTTAAATATTCTTTTAAGTAACACTTTCTGGTTCAACACGCAAAAATGTCCTGTCACGAGATACAAAAAAAAATAATTTGCAGGACTGTTTCTTAAATATTTTCCATGTTAATGTTTATAAAGATAGAGAAATAAACCTGAATGATAGAAAATTCAAATTAATAAGATAAAATGCAATAAATTCAACGTAGCCCTACATATTGTTCTTTAGCATCTCGAAAAAGAATTTTAGTTGTGTATTGAACCTAAATGCGTTACTTTGTAAGAGTATTTGAGAAATCCATATTATTGAATAAAAATTTCGAACTGTTCTTTACTACCCAGGTCGTTCATGCCCGGCCGTAAACGGTCGTACACCAATCATTTACGACGAAAAACGACAGCAGTTTACAGTGACCGTTTACGTCAATCATATACGGCGTTTTACGGCGTATTACNTATTTATTCAAAACTGAACGGGTTTTTATTTTCTCTCGTTGTTTTACTTAATGAACTATTGCACAGCAAGGATGAAATCTTCATTAAGAGAAGTACTTCACCGAAAATGTCAGTCGCATTCAAATGACATAACCTAGTTAGACAAGTTTTTTTATATAACTAGAACAATTTTTCTCATGTATGTTTACATGCAACTAAAATTTGGTTCTTGAGTAAAGTGTATTTCTGGAAGAATCAATGATATTCCATAGGTCAGGCTTGCTAGAAGTCTAATTTAGTTTAATCCTTAGTTATATTAATCTTGTTATCATTTTTTAATAAATGAGCTGTTAGTTTGACCTCGATCTGCAAAAGTATATATAAAACTTAAAACTTAAAAGAATTTATAATTTAATACAGGTCCCTATAAATGAATATTAAACTAATAATGGGTTCGCTACACGATGATAATAAGGTTGAAATAAATGAGAACTCATCAAAATTACAATTCAAGTCATTCAGTCGTATAAATATAATTGTTGCATATCTAAATATATACTCAAGTCAAACACGGAACACGTAAAAATGAGTGAAACTTTTTGAACGAAATCGTAAAAACCGCACATTTTAAAGCATTTGTAACGCATTAAAAATGAGCAATTCTTATCAATTCAATGTTCAGTAAAAACGTCGACGTTGTTTTACGGTTATTTTTATTGTTTGTCTAACTAGGTTATGTCATTTGAATGAGACTGACATTTTCGGTGAAGTACTTCTCTTAATAAAGATTTCATCCTTGCTGTGCAATAGTTCATTAAGTAAAACATCGAGAGAAAATAAAAACCCGTTCAGTTTTGAATAAATATATTACAAGAAATTAGAATGCAATTAGTAAAAATGATATACTTTTTTCTTTTCCACTTATCGCTAGAATGAAAGCAGCATTTTTTTTCTTCTCCGTTAAAGAATATCGCGGCGCACCACATTGACGACGTCTGCCTTTTTCTTTCAAATTATTCTAGTATAAAAAGAAGCCATGTGCATCAAAAGAAAAAAATAAAACAAGACTTCCGTTTATAGAAGATTATTATTCATGCCATCATTATTGTCAAAGGTGTTTCCTAATTCACCATCTATTGCCTCAATTCAAATACTTTCTACAATTATTTGTCTCCTTTGTACAATTTATTTCATTTTATCAATTTTTTATCCGTTTTCCTTTGAAAAACTTATTGTTGGATTGAGTTTTCAACCTTTGAAAACAAACATTACTATACCTGCTAATATTACAAAACTTATTTCAAACGATGGCAATTCTCTAACGATTAATACTAGTAATCCGAGCAACAAGAGTTTCATTTGTGATTATACAAAAACAAATAATACACATAGTAAAACAACTAACTCATCATTTGAAGATCATCGTCTAAATGCACTTCGTCGTAAGTATAAGAGATTTTGTTTATTTGCCGATAGGAATGTCCAATATAGATGTCAACAGCAATGAACTTGTACCAGTTTTGACTTGAGTTCTGATAATAAGGACGCTGAAGTTCACTAAGAGCACTAACTTACCCACACTAATTTACAGCGAAACACTATGACATGGACCCTATCAAAATATTTATCTTACTATGTTTTTGCTTTGAGTCAACAACGTACAAAATCGAAATGAATACTTCTATGCTTAAAAAAAGAAATATAAAAAAATTCAGACAATCACTGAGCTTTCACGATGATTCGAATGTCTATGTGGTCTATAAATTTTAATCAGTAAATGTCAGTGTAAGTATCATCAGTTTTTAGTAAATTGGTCCTACAAAATCGCTATTGTTATAGTATGATATATGTATCAATATATTTTTTAGCTTACTGTGATATTGTTCCAACACCTCGAAATAAATGGATTTCAGCTAAACGATATGAAGAAAGTGATATCGTGTTTATCATTTATACAGGTGCACCGTTTTATCAAACTCGTGCACTAGCAACTCGAGATACATGGCTATCACGTGTTACACATAAATATTTTTTTAGTTCAACACCATATCCATCATTACCTGTAACTGTTATTGAAGGTGCTGGAGAAAATTATATGTCTAATATGAAAAAATTATATGAAGGAATGAAAATAGCTTATCAAGAACATAATCAAACAGCAAAATTTTATTTTCTAGCAGGTTGTGATACATTTGTGAATGTTCCACATTTACTCAAACGTCTTGACCATTTTAATCATACCCAACCTCTTGTTATCGGTGGTCATCCTTTCGGTCATCCATGTTATAAAAACAAAAATAAAATGATTGCGGGCGTAACATATCCATCAGGTGGTGCTGGTTTTTTTCTCAGTGCTACTTTGATGAAAATGATGTATCCAAAAATAGATCCATTTTCTCGGAATGAGTGGCCAAATGAAAAAGTACCTTATAGTGATGGTGAGAAGTTCTTCTACTTTCTTTTCTTTTCAATATAAATACATGAGGGTTTGTTTATATAGTGGCTATTAACTGTCTTGCAGCATCGCTGGGTGTTCAACCTTCATTTGTACCAGGATTTTGGGCTCTTACTCCAGAAGAAACAGTGAAACGCGACGGACTATCAAAACTACATGCTGATTCTGAACCAAATACATTTCATTATGTTCCACCAACATCGATGTATATTCTTGATGAGTTCTATGTTTTTCAACATATTGATCGATTAGCAAATGATAACAATTTAAATGAACTTGTAAAATTTGCTCGACAATTCGTAGCTGTACATTATGAGTTATTACGTATGAAAAACAAGGAATGTACATTACCACCAGTAAAATCAACATGAACATAAAGTTTATTAATGAATTGCTGAAGAACTTCTTTCAAGTCTCTCATTCTATTCTCATATAATAATAGTAGATAGAAGCAAGTTATATAATAAAGTCAATATAGAATAGTGTAGTTTTATGTGAAAGAGGATTCATGACATTTTTATCATTCATTTAAGTAAATAAAGAAATATTCGCTATTGGTATTCTCATCTGTCTAGTTGTGACAGTGACTAGTTGCTTTACAAAAAAAATCAACTCAATAATCGAAACAAAACTTGTATTCACTTTGAAACAACCCTAGTATAGTGAGAAACCACACCTATAAAAATTTGTTTTATTCAATAAGAAATGTTGAATGGATAAATTTAAATAGTATCTACTTTATGATACATTTTCATTAGTGGCATAGTGTAAAAATGAGTTATAAAAAAATGATTGAAGAGCACTAAAAATTCTCATGTCTTTATTATAATAGTTGTTATCGAAATAGTTTCTTTTTTAAAACGAGAAGAACCCGTCCGATTCCGGTCATATCCGATGACTTTCCGGCGTGTTTCCTGCAGAATACGCAGAATTTCCCGTAAGGTCTGTCCGGAAAAAAACTAGAAATATATAAGTAATATTTCGAACGGGCAAATCATCACACATTAAACGGCGATTTTTTCACATTGTTCTAAAACCGAATATCGATAGAAACCAGTCTAGATCTTACTGGAAATATAAGAAATCGCATGAAACTCACTAAAATAACAAGAGAATCCGATCGGTAACACTGCAGAACTCACTGTATCCAACTGCAACTCATTGCTTTCTGCGTTCAATTCTGACAGATATGGGGGCATCTGAAGACTTTTCAGCGTTTTTTTGCAGAGTCTCTTCAACTTCGTACAAGAGCTCGTCGAAGAGCACTATGAACTCGGAAATAGTATACAGGATCCTGACGGAAAATCTCTGGAAGCCGCACGAAGCTCAGCGAAATGATAAAAAAAACTACACAGAGATAATTTGGAAATATTGATGTCTAGCCGTATGATGTAGTGCACAACGCATCGAAGCACTCATCATATTCTGATACCACGATGATACCTTTCAAACAAATCGCAACGCCGCATAGAATGACCCATATGAATTATTTCTAAATTATTATCAAAGCTCCAGAAAAAACATAGTGAAGTCGACGACTTCTCATAAATCTTTCAAATCTGTCGATAGATTAGCTCCAGGTTTGAAATCGGTAAAAATTATCTTTGAAGTTTCTCAAAACAGCTACCACATTTCATGACTAACCGAGTACTCACTTCAAGTGATGCTAATTTTAGGATCAAAAGACGCTGAAAGATGATTTACTAGGGAATTGAAAAACAAAACTATGTCCAGAAACCACGGGATCCGCACCGTAGTGCTTCGTCAAAATAAATTGACGTATCCAGAGATCGAAACCGAGTCGGAAACGACAATCGAATCGGATGTCGTCTCAAATGCAGGAAATGGCAGAACTCGAGGCGCTTATTTTCTTGAATAGCATAACATTTATCTACTGCATGCTCTTCGTATGGTTTTAAATACTCACAATTATCTGTTTCAGCGTCTTTGTGAGACCATTTACGTTTAGAAAATAATTCATTTTTGAATAAGCAATCTTTATATGAATTAAATAAAAAATAACTAAAGAATGAAAGAAACAAGCAAATATTACGAAATGAATCTGATTCGAGAAATAGAGAATAGCCAACACAGATACAAACAATAAAGTAGATGATAACAATTAATGAAACGAAATATAACTGTATGCTTTCGTATTCATGTTCAAGTTTGTACAATTTGTTCAGGACTGTCAAAGCAAACAAAGTTTTTCAAAAACATGTGTAAAAGCGTATAGAACAAAATGGTCATGCAAACACGAGACCATCAAAATTTTTTAGTGTGAAAACGTAAAGCTTATTTTTATCGAATACATATAAGCGTGTAAACGCCAAGGAAGCTAGTTTTATGACAGTGTCCACGCTTCATCGGTCATAAACATGTGTTAACTTTAAACGTCTAAAAATCTTTTTATTGTCCTTATTGGAGTGATAATTTACAACCGTTTTATCTCTTGCAAAATGAACAATTTGTTTACTTTTCATAGAAATATTTTTGTCCTTACTAATTCTCAAAAATTTGAGCGTTTAAACAGTTACACAGATGCAGATAATTTTGAGCGTATTGGGAAACGAAAATTTTCATTGTTATTTTTCTCAGGTTTTTGCGCGTTTAAACGGTCAAATACTCGGAATTTCCAACATGTTAAGAAATGAAATTCTTGTCTCTCGAAACTTTGCTTTTTAATATAGTTTTTAATTGACTTTAGTGCTTAAACACGCATGCACACGTACGACAGTGATGTTTTCACAGCAGTTTAATACGGAAAAGGAAGGAATTTTCTAACCGTTCAAATGGTCAAAACTTAACTATGGTAGTGCATATATTTGCGTATCATTCAGCTGCTTTGGATGTATGCATGGGAAGGTGCCTATGTTTTTTAAACGCGAAATATATTTGAGTTATCCTAGCTAGTGTGGTGTAATTTTTTTGCATCCCATGCTTATCTCTATCTGATTCAGGTTTCGATAATAACATGAACATGTGTGTGACATGTAATTTAATCATTCAAATTAAAAAAATGTTGATATCGAAAGAGCAACAAAATATTTAAAATAGCTGAAAGTTTAATTTTTGAGTTCGGATAACACTTATAAAATCTTAGAATAAGAAAATCTAAATTCACAGTGGAAAATTGATTGATTCTACGTATGAATCAAGTACTGAATCAACATTCATTTTGGGGAGACTCAATTGCTACAATAGAACAGAAGTAAAATCCTATTTCAGATTATACATTCAGTTTGATTTTATGCAGTATTTGAGTTATGTATTCGTTTGCATTGAAAGTTTCATAGTTCATGACAACAATTTTCTATAAAAAAGAAATAACAAAATTATGTATCGTTATATCGAACTACAATAAGACAGTTTGAGTTGAACAGAGCTATATAACTTGATCACATGGTCTTCAGAATCCCAGTTACTTGTGAACAACTCTCCGGGAAAATAAAAAGTAAAGTGGATAATTCTATATTGTCGGCATACAAATTCTTTACTATCTCAGTTATTCATTTTCACATTCTTTCAGCGAAAAAAGTATGAAAAAAGAATGAACTCACATTTTTCGTCTTAAGACTATTTTTTTTTGATAATGTAAATTTATACATGAAGTAGCAGTTCTCAGATATAGCATCATAAATACTTGAGCTCTCGATCATAGTCAATAATGATTCGCATGACCTTTCTCGCTTGGCTAACTCTCTCTTACTTCATGTGAAAGCTCTCTATATTTTATGTCTTCTGATTTTTTTCTCTCCACAACCATATACATGGAGATTTTTCTCATACACATCACTGTCTTCATACGTAACTCAATCTTCTTTTGAACTTATGTGCGTGATGATAGAGAATACAATGAAGGAGAATAAACGTCGGAGATCAACGATCAACATGTACATTCGCACTCCACAAAGTTAATGCTTACACCTACGATGAAACAAGATATCTTTTTTCGTTTGATTGCTTTTAACTGTGGTAAGGGTGGCAACCAGGTGAATAGATAGATGGAAATGTAGTTAGTTTCAGCTGTGAACAAAAGTATTTTCCATTCAATCTTTTTTGAAATATGACATAAAAACTAATATAGAAGTGGAGGAGCAGACATATAAACTTCTCCATAAATTGCTACTGGTATAGTCTAAAGACTCTAGTCAACCAGAGATTATATGTTGAACTCGAATGAATTTATTAGGTAAGCTTGTCTTGTTTACAAAGACTAAGAATATTATACTGAAAAACAATACTCGAAAGCATAAAGACATAATACTAATTAAAGATATTCGATAAAATCATTTTTTAATCTAATAGTACAGATTACCTATATCTTGTGTTACATGTTATTCATGCAGTCGATAACGAAAACACTTTTTATTCTATGTTGAATCCGCACGACACAAAAAAAAGATGTTCATTGCAAGAATGACTTCAACATTTTATTTCAGCATAGTATGTGGTTGATCTCGATTTACTTCAACAAACAATGTTCCTCTATCAACGTCATAAATTATTACGACAAACAAATAGCGCGGCGAATTTTTCCATGACTTGAATAGCTCAGTAAGGAATTTGCTAATAATTTTACAGCTTTTTATGTTACTAAACTCCTTTCATTGCGAATTCAGTCATCGATCGAAAATATACAGTTGAATCTAGAAATTTAAAGACATTGAAAACGCTTAAAGGATTAGCACATACCAAATATATAAACTGAAGTCCTGAAGATATCTAGCAAGGAACCACTTGAGTGTTGAAAAATGTATATTCGCCGGTGAACTAAATTCTAACCATTAATACACTATACAGAAATAGAGTACTTACCAGTTTCTTGTTGTCAACATTCAATGAAGATCAAATAGCTGCCGATGTCACGAAAATCGCGGCGATTTTGTCGATCTTTTAAAAATCGGTGAATTAATCGGAATTTTTTCGCTGAACTTCCATAGTAATAAGGCGACGATTTAGCCGATTAATTCACCGATTTTTAAAAAATCGGAAAAATTGCCGCGATTTTCGTGGCATGAGTGCAGTCAGAAGTAAACCAGGAACGGCTGAACAGCTTTTATCTAAATACTAAGTACGCCGTAAGATCGATGAATAGGCACCTCTCTAGGTAATTAAGTACCTAGCTAGATCGGTACATCCGTAGTGTAGGCGTTAGTTAGATAGATAGGTACATAATTAGAAAATTGTCTAGACCCAGGTCAAAGATGTACATCGGGAAACGGTTGGATCCCATGAATTTCCGGGAAATAGCGACAGCAGTATTTCCGCACCGGTTGCTGCCTCCGTTTTCGATCTAGTTTCTTCCCATGTGAAAATTTAAGCAGAAAAGCTCGCTTAAAGTACCTTAAATTTTTCGCTGAAAAGTGCTGAAAAGCGCATATTTTAAGCCGCTGGAAAGTGCTTACAATTAGGTCTTTAAGTGCTTTTAAGCGCTTACAATTGGGTATCTAAGCACTTTTAAGCGCTGAAATCGTAAGCGTTGCAAGTGCTGAAAAGCGCACATTTTAAGCAGCCGAAAAGTGCTTCTAAGCACTGGATTTCAAAGAACGGACATTCGTAGATGATCCGTTCTGACTGTCATCATAATGTGCCTGTATGCATANGGCTACATTCACACTCACTCAAATCTTTCCAGGAACACTGTTCACAAACTGCTGGAAAAAATCGAAATTTGTATGAATAATAATGGAAACCTTTTTGAAAATCGAATAAAATAAAACTAAAAATATCGTTTTTGATTTCATAATTTTATTTTTTCTTCTTAGAACTTTTGGTTAGTCCTCCGTATGTTAGAGTATTGCTGATAACTTCAGTCATTGAAATATAAATTGTTGAATTTCGACGAAATTCATACAGACCTGTTATTCACTGGTATTCGATTACTAGTTTTTGAAAACATAAGATTGCGTACAGGATTCACTGTTTCAAAAATATAGAACTTTTTATGTATTGATGTTAATGAAATTCTCAATTTAAATAGCTTTTGTCGCTTAATACTGTTCCTCTACAGTAATACTCACAATAATGTAGAACTGACAGACGCTCAAATAGGATGATTGTCCTTGCTCGTATTAATATGAGTGGTTGTTCGAAACATTGTTGTTCAGGCAAATAATAAAAATACCTCGAATGACTCGTCAGTATATCAAGAGAAAACTGTTCATAAACTCTGATGAAACAAACAAAAAATATACAACGTTCTATTGCGATTTCATAGTTATATTTGATCTGTAGAAGATAAAAAACGCGCTTTTGTCTTCTTATAATACACGTTTTTAGAAGTAAAATTATGCGACATCACTGGCTAAGATCCATTGACCATGAAATTGGTTTTATTGCATCTCCCTTCATTTTTGTTTTGGATCTGATTTTGTATTTGTAAATGTTCAACTGTTGATAAACAGCTTTTCGAAAGCTGAATATCAATATGAAGATTCACGAATCAGCATAATATACGTGAAAATTAGAAGTATGAATCTTTCTTTAACCCATTTATTCACCAATTTTTTGTATCAGAATCAACAACAAAAAAACACAAATCACATTAAATCCTCTAAATTTTAAACATGATCTTAGAGAAAACAATAAGATATTTTATCGATACTTTTCATCTTTTAGTTATGATCGTTTAGTATTCGAAAATCGTACATTCTTTTAATAAAAAAAGTTATATTATGTATTATTCAACTATTTATTATTATATACATATCTATTTATACATGACAATCATATCATTTCAATTGATAAAGAACGAGTATTTTGCAATTGTTAATGTATTTTAATGATCCAAGTAGTATTCATAGATTCAATCATTTTACTACTAGTATTTCATTATAACAGTGGACTAATACCCATGCGATATTTCAAAGTTTCAGCACGTTTTCGTAAAATATAGATAAGATAGAATAATCAGCGAAAAATACAGGCTTGGACTAAAGTACAAAATTTATAGGAAATCTAGGACGAATCTGCCTCCACGCGAAAAACCTGTTGAATTTTCATCCATAAATACAAAAACAGGATTCCAGTTGAAATTCTTCTAAAAAACGTTTTTTTCTTTTTCGTAATTTAAGACTGTATGGACAACATTAAAACAAGAACTATTACAATTAATCATCCCAACTTTTCTAGCCAATAGTCCTAATGCAAATTCATTGCTTAATTATATGTGGAATTCACAAGTAAGAAAAATCAAAAGAAAAGAAATAATTTTATGAATTTCTTTTTTTTCAACATTTCTAAAAGCATCATACAACAGCATTACGTACAACACTTTTAACATCATTAGCTGATTGGTATAATCGAGCAAATGATAATGAACAACAACAACGTCTTAGTCGTGTACTTGAAGTTGTTCAAGATTTAAAAACTTTACCAACATTACTTGGAGCACAACCCATGACATTTATACTTGATCTTGCTTGTTTAGCATCAAGACGTGGTTATTTAAAATTAGATAAATGGTTATCAGATAAATTACGTGAACATCAAGTAATATACAAAAAAAAATTTAATATAAAGATTTAAAAATTTTTTTTTTTTTTTTCTAATCTAAGGAATTATTTGTTCAAACAACAATACAATATTTACGAAAAAAAGCTCCACAATTACTTCTTCCACCACCATTATCAAAAGATGATATAAATTTTAAAGCAATAACAAATGCTGAAACAATTAATGTTCTATTAACTGTTCTACAATTAGCATTATCATCAATAACAAATGGTGATCTTATTCAAGAAATTCAAACAATGTTATCAACAGCTAAAATTCTTAATACATTAACATCAACAACAGGAAATATATTTCCAAATACAAATCTTAATGAACAAACATTACAAAGACCTGCTTCTATATCATTATCATTAAATTCTCAACAATTATATCATCATCCAACATCATTTACACCATCGCCTACAACTCCATCAAATGGACTTTCATTAACAGCTCAACTTCGTTCATTACTAAGTAAGAAAAAAAAAAAAAGGTTTTATTTTCAACTGTCGCTTTTGTATGCAAAAATAAAAGCGTGTGCTGCCGCGGCCACGTCAAAATCGTCCATAGTAGAGGATGCCATAATGAATATATACATCGACAGAACGAGAAGAACGAATGCGTACGTCATCGAACACAAAAACAAAAACGGCGGCCGAGACGGAGAAAAGGCATTTGGGTTTGTGTGTGTATGCATGTATGAGTGGAAATAATAGTAATAGCAGCAATAGAACAGAAGAACACGATAGAACGAGAGAGAGAGAGAAGAAAAGAAAAAAAGAAGAAAAAAAATAGAGCGAGAAAAATAGAGATTTGTCGACACGTCCACCATAATAACTCGTATTTTTGACAAAACAATATCTTAACAAACCATGCGACGATTATAGCAAAAATAACGTTATATGATCAGATCTATCCAGGGTCTATGAATTTATTTGTCTATGGGATAGTGAAACAGCGAGCGAGAGAAAAAGAGAAAAGAAAGTGAAAAGTTCAACATAGTTCGATTCTATTTACTAGAATAATGATGATGGATCCAAGTGAACATCTTCTCAGTGAGAGAAAATAATTTATTATTTTCTTTATTTTTATTTTTATTTTTTTATTTGTTTTTTTTTAACAAAAGATTCCAATGGTAATGATCCATTAGCAATTGGTTCATCATCATCATCATCAACAACAACAACAACAGCAGTAGCAACAACATCAATGGGTGAAATAGCTGATGTTGATGTTTATTTTAAACGTTTATATTCAAAAACAAATAATCCACCACCGATATCAGTTGATGAATTTCTTGATATAATGACACGTTGTAAAGATTCTCAAATTCAACGAGAAAAAGTAAAAAATAAAAAAATTATTTTGACTTTTTATTTTTTATTATAAAATAATGTTTTTCTCGTTCTTTTTTTCTTCTCTAAGGATGTTTTTCATAATGGTATAAGAAATTTATTTGAAGAGTATAAATTTTATATTCAATATCCTGAACGTGAATTACATTTAACAGCACAATTATTTGGTGGTCTTTTTGAACGTGGATTATTTCAACAACAAGCATTAATAGCTGCATATCGTGCTATTTTAGAAGGTTTAAAAAAGCCTACAGGAACAAATCTATGGAATTTTGCTGTTACAGCACTTGACAGATGTAAAGCAAGGTTTGTTTTATTCAAATCAAATAATATATTCTTGGAAAATTTTTGTTATATAATTATTCTAATTGAGTATAACTTTCGGTAAACAGTCAATTTTAGTAATAAAATTATTTATAATCTTATCAAGAGTGTTCTTCGAAGTAGTCCAATTTGAGAAGAGGGAAGGAGGTAACCCATAAAAATCGAGAAAAGAAAAGCAAATTTTATGAATCATCGAACAGAAAAAAAAAAGCAAAAGGAAGTAACCCTCCTGATACTTGGGATACCCTTCTATCTTATATTTAAACGAAAAAAAAAATGATAATAGACAGAACAAAAACCCGAATTCAACAAGATTGTTTACCTAATTTTTTTGTATATATTTATCGATTTTCTCAATTCGAAATGTTGGATTAAATTTACATATTTCTTATCATTTAATATTACATTAAAATGTAAACAACTAGTCTTTAAGTCGCTTTATAAAAATAATACTTTTCCGGTACCCTTATACTCTGATTGAGAAAAATTTTCCTGACACTTACCCTACTCTAAAAATCTGTACCCCACGAAGTTTTTTCTTTACTCTTCTTCAATCTTATTCGGATTGGAATATTCTAAAAGTAAGAAATAGAAAAATAGTATTACGTTAGAGGTCGCAAAATAAACTTTTTTTTCGTATCATGTACCCAGACTGAAAAAATCTTCTATTCGTTATCCTATTCTACAGGATAGGGTTAACCTGCATATTTCTAGTCAATATGTATATATATATATGTTATAATTCTAAACTCATTAAATAATTGATTTTGTTTTATATATGAATAATATTATTTAGAATTCGTGAACAACCAACATTTCTACAAGGTTTACGAAGTTTATTAACTTACTCTGAAATTCCATTAAATATTCGTGAATATCTTGAATATGGTACAAAGACAAATATTCAACAACAATTTGATTCATTACGTACATTAACCCCAACATCAAATTTAACAGCTTCAACAACAGTTAGTCCACAACCACAAATATCACATTCAACAATGAATACATCAAATATGTTCCCACGTATGAATAGTGGTCCACCGATATCTAATCCACAACAATATGTAACTGGAAATGGTGGTGTTGGAAGAGAAAATCCAGCACAAAAAGGAGTACGTTATTCTAGAAAACAAATTTTTTGACTTATTTTTTTGAAATTTTCATATAGCCATCATTAACACAAAATGCAAATATTCGAACATTGATGAGTGATCCAAGTTATCTTCTTGTACGAGTAAAACCACCGCCCGAACAAATAAATGATAAAGTTGCATTTACATTTAATAATTTATCATTTGCTAATTTATCTCAAAAGGTTCTATCGAAAGAAGCTTTAGATTTATTTAATAAGATTTTGTTGTTGTTTTTTTTTTTTTTTTATTAATAGGCCGAAGAATTAAAAGACGTTTTAGGTAATGATGACCAATTATGGAAATGGGTTGCACAATATTTGGTTATGAAACGTGCTTCTATTGAACCAAATTTTCATTCATTGTATGCTGGTTTTATAAATACAATTAATGTTACTATGCTTTATGATACCGTATTAACTGAAACACATCGAAATATTAAAGTAAAAACAAAAACAAAAAACGAAGAATTTTTTCAATTTTTGCTTTTTGATTTTAGATTCTTTTATTAAGTGATAAACAAATGAATAATATACCTGATCGTGCATTATTAAAAAATCTTGGTCATTGGCTTGGAATAATTACTATAGGAAAAAATAAGCCAATTCTTGCTACGGTTTGTAGATAAACGAAAAAATCTATAAAAAAAAAATTATTTTTTGTTTTTGTATTTTATAGGATTTAGAAATCAAATCTTTAGTTATTGAGGCATATCATATGGGTTCACAAGAATTATTATATGTTGTACCATTTGTAGCAAAAATTTTAGAATCATGTACACGAAGCAAAGTATGAGAAAAAAACATTAATTTATAAAAATAATTTATTAATTTAAATAGATTTTTCAACAACCAAATCCATGGTTAATGGGTATTATGTCTGTTCTTGCTGAAATGCATGCAACACCGGATTTTAAATTAAATTTAAAATTTGAAATTGAAGTGCTTTGTAGACAATTACAAATTCAATTGACTGTAAGTTTAATTGATAGAAAAAAATTTACGACAACTAAAAAAAAAAACATTTCAAAGTGTTTATCAAGAATGCTATTTGCAGAAAAAAAGAGTAGATTCCGTGGTTTGCTCATTGAAATTAAGATATCGAATTTTTATAATGCGAGTATAACTATAGGTCTCGTTTCTGAAGAGATTGAGGTGAAATAGTTCTGCATTTTTTTTTTAAAGTTATGTCTGTCAAGTGTGAGAAGACAATTTTTATCTATTTCTTTTTGGCAAACAGAAGGTCTCTGACTATTTGTCGAATTTTTAGCTCGTTTCATTTCTACAAACTATTGAGACGTCTCAATGTAACATAGAAGAGACCTTAGTTATGAAGTTTTAGGAAATATTTGGGATACGGTTAAGAGAATTATTTTTAAGTCAGACCCCTATGTGCATTGTCTTGGAAGCTCTTAGATTACTATTACGGAGATTTTATAAAAATACGATATTTTTTAAAGCAATACTGATCCTTTCAGAAACATCAAGAAATCTTATTTTCGAATTTTCACACAGGCTGCTTGTACAGAGAATAGTTTATAGTGAAAGTTTCAACTCGCTTTATTTGCTTCTATCCTGAAATTAGCATATCAAATATTCGAGTAGACACGAACGATATGAAAGACACGTTTATCATAGCTGTATCAGAGAATAGGAACAACAAAAAGATCTGAAATTTAGCCAATGAAATATTCTCGTTAGAGCTTATTTCTATTTAAAGTCAAAAATCGCAAAAAAAAAAAGCTTAGGACATTGTGCCATTCTGCTAAAGAATACCAGTTAAAAAATGCAGTATTTCGGTAACAATAAGCTAATGGCCTGAACTCTTTTTTCACGGTATTTATTGCTCACTAAGAATCACACAATACATATTGTCTGAACTTAAAAAAAGTCAATCAGTTGGGAGACTTTCCTCATTTATTTAAAGAAAATCAATAAAACTGTCTCTGTTTTCGATGATATTATTGGGACATTTAATCTGCGCCCTTGCATCAGTATTCTTTGACTTGGATCATGATGTGAAAATCTTTGAAAAGGATTTACCGTATCTTCAACTCATTCGAAATTTACAGAACTATATAAAATATTTTTGAAATTTTCAATGATTTAATTCAATGAAAAAATAAACGTTTATACATTTATAAAAATTTTATTTATCTTTTAGGATCTTCCAATTCATCATACATTATCAAATAAAGAATATTTCGATAAAATTGAAAAACAATTATCAAATACTAATCGTCAATCATCCGGTATAACACCTCATGTTTATCAATCTCAACAATCAACAAATTCAACAGCGACATCATCATCTCTTTATAATGATCCAGCTATTCTTAATTATCATCAATTATCAACAAATCAACAATCTTCAGCAACAACAACAACATCATCCGTATTACCTATTCCAATTCAACAACAACAACAACAACAACAGCAAACATTACCCGTAACATCATCATCATCATCGTCATCAACACTTCCACCTGTACCAAAATATAAATTATCTGATTTTAAACCATCAATATTTCAATCATTAAGTTCAATGCTTGAAATAAATCCAAATATACTTCTTTTTCAACATCATCCACGTCTTAAAACCTATATACATTCACCTATTGAACAAGCCATAAATGAAAGTCTTCAAACAGTTCAACGTTCACTTAAAGTCGCAACAAGTGCAGCTGAAACAATTGTACGAAAAGATTTTCTTTTAAATCCTGATGAACAACAATTACGTACATCAGCACGTAATATGGTTGCTTATTTAAGTAGTGGTCTTGTACTTATAACAGCACGTCCAGCATTACAAGATCAAATACAATCTTATATTAAAACACATTTACAAACAGTTCTTGGTGTTTCACAAGGACCAACAACAAATTCAACAACAACAACAAATAATAATAATAATAATAATAATAATAATAATAATAATGATTCATCATCATCAACGAATACAACAACAACAACAGCAGCAACAACAACAACAAATGGTACAACAACAAATGATCAATTATCAAGTCAAACACGTGAAATGATTCATCAAGCAGCAACAGAAATAGCAGCATCAAATATTGAATTATGTTGTTGTCTTTTACAACGAATAACAATACATCGAGCTATACAATTAATTGATCAACGTTTAGCTGGCGATATTGAAATTCGACAACGTTGTCGATTAGAAGGACGACAATTGCCAACAGCAACAAGCGTAGCTGAATTTCAGTCAGATAGATTATTAGAACCTATACGTTTACGCTATGGACCATTATCATCACATCAATTAGCTATTTATGAAGATTTCGTTCATTTTATTCCAGGTTTTAAACCAAGTGATAATGAAAAACGTGACCTTGTTACGGTAATTTGACTTATATTTCTTGTTTAAGAAAATATTTTGAGACATATGACTGAGATTTTGTTAAAAGATTTTCATAGCTGAAGTTGGAATAATAATTAAGAATTTCTGATGAAGAAAAAGTACTGTTTTAATTTTCTAGAAAATATTTTATATTTCTTTGAATTGTTCTAAGATTCGAATAGTTGTAATAAACTTACGATGAAACATTCTTAACTATTAAATACCGATTGAATTGAAGTTTTGCCGATAAGATAGATTTAATGAGACTTGAGAAAACTTGGAATAATTTAAGTTTCTCTTGACTGTCCTATCAGAGTTATAGTCAATAACAAGGTATTTAGTATAAAATTTCAACTTGAAATTTTTTGTATACTCAGCTCTTATGATCCTCGCAATATCCTATTTTTCTACGAAATATGATCGTTCATGAATATTCAATATATCGTTAAGAAAACATTCATTTCGACTAAAAATTTCAGGATAATCTAAAAATCATAAAACCTGATAATCTACAAAATTTCAAGTTGAAAATTTTATTCTCCTTACTTTACTATAGAACAAAAAGAACTGATTCAATGCTCATAATGTAGGTAAGAAGGCTTAGAACAGTCCGATTCATTTCAAATTCTTTCAAGTCTTATTATATCTTCCTTATTAGCAAAACATGAACTTGATCAGTATTAAACAGTTGTAGTCTTCTCTAGGATTGATAAGTTACCATTACTTTACCAAGTAATTAGTAACGGAAAATTTGAAAATTTAGCACGAAAAATGTTACTTTTCAAAAACTAATGATTGAAATCAAACTTAAAAGTTTCGCTAAACCGATTAGAGTTCAGCATCTTCAGCCCTGAAAACTTTTTTGATCAAACTTCATATTAAATTATCATCTCTCAAAAACAACTTTTTTCGTAATAAATTCACAAATTTTTCCGTTACTTGTTACCTAGTAAAGTGAACAAAAAAAAAAAACAATGATTCTTCCATTCTCACGGGACAATAGGCGTAACTCAGCATTGAAGATAAGTGGGTCACAGAATGTTTAAGTCCTAGAAAACAGGGTCCTGCATGGACAATTTTCGAAAGTTATGGGATCACTATATGCAGAAATTCCAAAAACCGGTGGGCATCACACTCCTTGCGCAAGATCATAATTTTTATTATCTGTAATCTTCAAATTGAATAGCTCATTGTCTATAATCAACAAAATTGTTTTATTTTTCTTCATATAGATGGATGAAACAGGTCCATCCGTATGGGATCGTTTAATAGCTGAAATCGATCAAATCATATCAACTCAACATAATCAGACATTTGCCAGTGCATTACAACGATTATTAGAAAATGTTAATATTTTACGAACTAATTTACATAATCAAACATCACCAAATGCACCACAAGTTGCATTAAATAATGTATTAAATATAATAATTTATAATTTACTTGAACATTATACATTACAATCTCAAACACAAGATGGTGATAATTTAGAACGCTTTAAAAATGTTCATATGAGTGTATTAAAATTACTTGTTGAAATACGTTTACATATGTCACTTATTAATAAACAATTAACTAAAGCATGGTTAGAATGTCCTAATGAACTTAAATTTAATGTTTATGCTGTTAATCAACTTTTACGTAATCGTCTACTTGATATACGTCAAATGGATACACATGTTGCACAATTAATTGATTCGGGAAATAATCCTGCACTTCATTTTGCTGTTAATTTTCTTCGAAATTGTGTTATTGAACAACCATGTTGTGTTGATAGTGATATTGCATCTATACTTGATTCACTTCATCGTATATCATTAATTGGTAAACAACCAGCTGAAGCTGTACGTGATTTACTTGAAATAATACGTTTAAATTATACATCATTAACAACAAATAATGAATCAAATTCAACAAATGATACAAATAATACAAATGCTCAATCAACAGTTAAAATTGATAAATTAGCTATTATATCATTATCAGTTATAAGTAATGGTCATAAATATTTAACATCAAATGATGAAATTGAAACAACAACAATAGCTAATAAAGCTAAACATATATTAAGTGATTGGGTTACATTAACAATGACACAAACAAATCGTATTAGTCAACAACAATCATTTCAAGGAGTTTTTAATCAAGTAAAAAAACAAAACAAAACAAGATTATAAGATTTTGACCAAAAAACAGACTATATATGAAGTTATCTTAAGAAGGACTTCTTCTATTTGATAGTGTAGGTATTCTTAAATTAGATTCAATATCATTGTGATGTTAGTAGGTATTGTCATCTATTGACATCTCAACGATACAAAATCGACTTTAATAATACCTACACTATCAAAAATATAAGAAGTCTTCCTTTACAAATCTGCATATATCCTGTTCATTGGTCAAAACTTTTTAATCATCTTTATTATTTACAAAAAAAAAACAAATATTTATTTTTCATTTAAATTTAGATGAATATGCAAGGTTTATTTCGTTCCGATGATACAATAGCTAAATTTCTTCGTATGACAATTCAATTATGTGTCAATAGTGTTTATGATATAATTCGTCAAGCACCACCAATATCATCATCATCATCGTCAACAGCAACAACACAACAAGCACATTATACACGTTGTCATCAAGGAATTGATTCACTTTGTCGTTTTTTATCACTTTTAACAACACATACATCGGATATTAATAATTATGGAGCACGAATACATTTAATTAATCGTATTTTAGGAATTTTAGCTGCACATTGTTTTGCTGATCATGAAGAACAAGGTGATCAATTTCATCCATTGGCTTATCAAAGAATTATTCTTAATTTATTTCAAGAATCTACAGCTGCTGTTACATCAACTATGTCAAAGTAAGAATTATATAAATATTTCAAATTAGACTTAAATAAAAGTTTTTATGATACTTTACAATAGAAAAATTAATTTATAATTAATCAAATAATGATAGAATAGAGTAGCGAATGAATTTATCTAGATTTTCTCTGCCGACCAAGTGATTTACAACTTACAGAGAGCAAATACATATAAAAGATAAGCCCTGAAATCGACAAACGAGAAAATGATACTTCCAGCGATTAGAAAAGTAATTCCCGAGATGTAATAAGGACGAATACTGAGAAGGTGAATCCGATTCTCGAAAGAGCTGTGCCTCCTTGGCATTTCATACTTGATAAAATACTGATGCTAGTGTTCAATTTTAATCTGAACATGAAAACTGAACTGTTTCATATCCATTAGAATTCGCTATGAACTATTGATTTCTGAATAAAATTCTATCAATCATTGTTCACTACTATTTTCGATCAAGTTTTTATTTATTAATCAATTTTATCTATAAGAACTCTTATCGATTATTATAAATTTTTAAAATTAGAATCCAATACTTTAATAAAGCATCTCATCTTTCTTTTTTGACATTTATAAATTTAGTGTAGAATCTATTTATGAATTAGAAAATTTTGAATTTATTCATCATAAAATATTGATATTGATAATTAGAATAATGTCAAATGTTAGTGTCAGTGTTTTTGTTCAAGCTTCATGTTTCCACAAAAAATAGTTCCGAACTTCAACATGAAAACTAATCTGAAACTTTAAGAGAAATATTTCTTTGCCGCTCTCTGTCATAAATTAAATAGATTTTATAACAATTTCCAAAGTCATATTTCATTAACATCTAATTGCATATTCTAAACATTTTTATTTCCAATGTTTGAAATTATAAATTATTTTTTTTTGTTTTATTTCTAAATAGTACAACACCAAGTATTGATGCATCATCAACAAACGAATATGTAATGTATTATATTTATTTGGCATTTACGAATTGTTTACATCTTTTACGTCCTCAACGTGTACCTGGTTTTGCATTTGCTTGGCTTGAAATAGTTGCACATCGAACATTTATGTCACGTTTACTTTTATCAGCTGGTCGTTTTACTCGTCAAACTCATAATATGTATGCATTATTACTTGTTGATGCATTACGTTTAGTAACACCATTTATACGTTCGGGTGAACATGCACAATCATTTCAAGTTTATTTTAAAGGTATATTAAAAACATTTATGTTATTATTACATGATTTTCCAGAATTTTTATGTGAACATTATTATCAATTTTGTGATGCCTTACCATTAATAGCACATCAATTACGTAATATTGTTTTATCAGCATTTCCTAAACATATGCGTTGTCCTGATCCATTTTTGGTTAATTTTAAAGTTGATATGCTTAATGATATATCAATTGTACCGGTGATAGCTTATAATTTTTCTCAAAATATTCAACCACCAAAATTTAAACAAAATCTTGATTCATATTTACGTACACGTGCACCAGTTACATTTTTATCTGAATTACGTTCATATTTACAACAAGGTGCTGATCCTGGTTCACATTATAATATAAGAATGTTAAATGCACTTGTTTTATATGTTGCAACACAAGCATTATCAACATTAAATAATAAAACAAATGGTCAACCATTAATGTCATCAATAACACATTCAGCACATATGGATATATTTCAAAATTTAGCTGTGGATTTAGATACAGAAGGACGTTATATATTTTTAAATGCTATGGCAAATCATTTAAGATATCCAAATACGCATACACATTATTTTAGTTATACACTTTTATATTTATTTGCTGAAGCAAATTCAGAAGCATTACAAGAACAAATTGTTCGGTATGTTGTTAATGAATTGTTGTTTTCTTTTTTTTTTTTTTTGACATGAAGATTTGAATTATTTATTTATTTCTTCTTCTAGAGTTTTACTTGAACGACTTGTTGCTAATCGTCCACATCCATGGGGTTTATTAATAACATTTCTTGAACTTGTACGAAATCCTAATTTGAAATTATGGTCTCGAGAATTTATGAGTATTTCACCAGATGTTAAACGGTTTGTTTAATTTTTTATTATATTTTATTTTTATGTTAATGAGAAATTTAATATTTCAATGCTACTAAGAAAAAAAACTATAGTCTTAAAGAGTTCGTTCTCTTAGTCTTCTATAATAGATCTTATATTCAGTTTTACTATTAACTATGCTGGTTATTTACATGTTTTTCTTTTTGGCGTTGAAATCATAAGATTTTCTTAAAATATCTTAGAACGATATCGAAGGAACACGCACCAACTATCAAACTACTAGTGATGCTAATAAGAAAATATTAGCAATAGAACCGAGAATGACACAGCAGAGACTTGAATCTTGAAGTATACTGTTTGTCTTTCTGATAGAACAAAGAATTTTATTTGATTTGTGTCGTTCAGCTCTAAAATAAGATTTGTTGTTTGAAAAAGATTTAAAAAAAATGAGGAACAGATCTCATGCTAAAGATGGAGTTGATAGAAGCCATCGACTTAGTTTCGAACTCCGATTCGATCCAACAAGTCATGTTGGAGATGTAACACCTAATTCTAATTAGATTGTAATAAGATTATCACCAAAACTATTAGAGAAAAACATAGAATGTGTTAGTATCAGTATATCAATAATTGATAATAAATATCTCACATCTTCACAGTAGAAAAATTCTACTTGTTACACTAGATAAGGTGTATGGTTTGGATTCTCGTCAAATAATTTCGAACCCGATGGGCTCTAGGTGTTGGCCAGAGTTTCAAATGACTATTATCGAGTTTGTCAATGGTTTTCAAAAAAATATTCAGTTAAGCATATCGAGAAAGTAATATATTAAAATGAATAAAATTTACAATAGAATAAAATCAAATTTAATTCATATTCAATTTCTTTTTCTTATTTTTTATAGTTTATTAACAACACTCACCCGTGGTTTTCCTCATATTCCAAACGCTCCAATAGGTACTCAACAGCAACAACAACAAACTGCCATTGTTAAACCCTAGTCGTTTATATATTCTTTCTCATTTTGTTTATCTTGTATAGAGTTGATGTTTATTTGATTATATGTCTATATGTATCTGTGTGTATTTCTATACTATCATCAGCGAAAAAAAAAACATAATATTCTGGTTATGTGCGTTGCTCTCATATTATTTTTCCGTTTATTTGTTTGATTGTTTTTTTTTACATATTCATTCTTCCTACTCTAGACAGAATTTTTTTTTTGATTTATTAGCTGTTGGATATCATTAGAAAAAACGAGCCGATGCGGTATCTCTCTCTCTCTCTCTCTCTCTCTCTTTCTCACAGATGAGCTGAGCATGGAACATTTAGTCTCATTGTACTTTTTAAATTTGTCATTGCGTTTGATGTTGTTCTGTTTTTTTTTCTTTCCTTTTTGCTTGCGTGATTTCTTCTTTTTTTTTGTTGTGTACGCCTGGTGTTGTGAACAGACAGAGATAAAACAAAACAAAAATCAAGAGATTCTAAAATGTTTTTCTTTTCTTTATTAATTGCAACTTGTTCATTCATAGTCGTTCTATGTATGTGACAAGAAAAAACCTAAGCCATTGTTTATATCTCTCAACAAGTTCTCTCGCTGGTCTGGTTTTTTTTCGTTCTTTTCTTTTTTTTTTTTGTTATGTGCGTTTCTCTCAACTCTATGTTTGTGTGGTCTTTTTCTTTTTGGAGATAAAAACAAAACTGAAAAAAAATTTTGATTATCTATTTTGATGATATTGATTTAATGAAAGAAAGCTTTAAAGAGTAACAAAAAAAGTATATTATTTTGAATATGTTTATCAAAGGTAAGAGATTGAGAACTAGCGACATCTATTAATTTTATAAAATGTGTTGTTAAAGGTTTGTCAAATGGTAAAAAGAATACTAGATTTCATAGTATTTATATCCATAAGTGAAACGTTGGAAGTCAATGAATAATATCAATAGGATGAGAATGGTTGAATTTTGTTAATATTACTTGATTTATATGCAATAGGATATTTCTACACGATATATGTCATCCTCACTCTTATGCATACTGTATTGCGTAGAAAAAACACTATGTGGATGAGGGTTATGTATTTTTTGTAGAAATACTAATAGAAGAAAACATGTAATATAATAAATAAATAAACATCGATTTTTATCATTTATTAATTTTAGATAGTTTGCTTTTTTTTTCGACATCATTTTGAATCCGTTCAATGTGAGTGTAAGTTACATTTTTTTTTCACAATAATTATGAAATTAGCTTGTCTAATCCAACAACACCGACGCGCTAGCAACATAAAGGATAGCCATTTTTTTTTTCGTAACTATCTCTGTTTTGTCAGTTTTAATGTAGGAACATATATTTTCGAATGTAACTTTGCTAGCCATATGGTCCAATAAATTCTAATTATTAGAGAGTCCCTCGTTTTTTTCTATATTCAAGTTTTACATTCCTAAGAGTTAATCAATATTAATGAATATTGAATGCTATTTTCTATTTAACATATATTATGATAGAATGAACTACTATAATAAATTTCTTAATATTCGATAGAGATTGAATTTTGGAAACAAAAATCTTTATTATAAAATGACGTTGGTATTTTCAAATTTTATTAGTATAGAAAGTTTGATTAGAAGAAAAACTTCTGCATGAATCCCAACAAAGTAATATCAATATATGGTTAGTGGTGATGTAACCAAAATTGAGTACCGTCCTATTACCACAAGTAAGAAAAGCATAATAATTACCGTCATTTGACACTATATTGCATGAATTTCTCCAATATTACAGTGTAAGTTTTTTTTTCGTACTCTGTACTTTGATTGAGAAAAATGTTCTTACCTTTACCTTAGTCTACCTTGCATATCTCTACAAAGTAACAAAATTGTAGTTATTAGTGTTTTGAAATGTAGTATATGTATGATTTGAAAGCGTAAATTTTTAATAAAAATGAGAATAATTTCAAGACGATAAATATCATGATTTTAAATCTATGAATTATTTATAGGGTATTAATTAGTTCATCATATCGATTTGTTCGTTATTATTCAACAACTCATCAATTAAAATGGTCATCATCACGTGTTCGTCAAACATTTATCGATTATTTTACAAAACATCCTCAAAATCCTCATGTAGTCGTTCCATCATCATCAGTCATTCCACCAAAAGATTCCGGAACATATTTTGTAAACAGTGGAATGAATCAATTCAAAAATATATTTCTTTCACAACAAGATAAAATTTCACAACAATGTGTTGTTAATTATCAAAAATGTATACGTGTTGGTGGAAAACATAATGATTTATCTGATGTTGGACATGATACATATCATCATACATTTTTTGAAATGCTTGGAAATTGGTCATTTAATAATGCATATTTTAAACGTCAAGCATGTACAATGGCTTATGATTTATTAACAAGAATTTATAAAATTGATAAAAATCGTTTATATTTTACATATTTTAATGGAGAAAATAATCTTATTCAACCAGATTATGAAACAAAACAAATTTGGATCGATTTAGGAATTAATTCAGAAAGAATTTTACCATTTGGAATGAAAGAAAATTTTTGGGAAATGGGTGAAATAGGACCATGTGGTCCATGTACGGAAATACATTATGATCATACAGGTCAAGGAGATCCATTACAAGTTAATAGCGATAATCCACGTGTTGTTGAATTATGGAATCTTGTTTTTATGCAATATGAACGACGACAAGATAAATGTAAGATTTTAATCAATTCATTAATAAAAAAATAATAGAAAATTTATAGAAAGGTAACTACTAGCTTTTAGTCTAATAACAGGATATATATATATTATTAAGTTCAATTGCGCACGGTTACGATCTGAATAGAGGACATCATCTTTATCGCATTTCCAATTGAAATTATAACGGTATGCATTCAAGTGAATGAAGTATAGTAGGAGTTTGGAAGTAAAAACCTAGTGGCCGGTTCAGATCAATGTAGACTGAAATTAGAAAAGTCCGGCCACTGGATTTGATTATTGAATTCCTGCTTCGAAGCTCTTACCGTTCGCCGGCAATAGTACTTCATAATACCTACATCAGTAAATTTTTCTCTACAAATCTATATATATGTCGTACTGGAATCAAAAATCATCGTGAACCTTGTACCTGCTTTTGAAATAGATCTGATTTTAAAAAAGAAAGAAATCTTCGTAATCAATTCAAGATAGATTCAGTCATATAATGGATAAATCTTTTTAATTTTTATCAATACAGTCAACGTATTATGAACGTACAATTATGCTTAATTTATCTATATTTATTACGAGAAAACGTTCTTAACTGTCAAATAGATTTTTTATGCCTGAAACTATTGTTTTTCGATTGAGCATGATAAGTAAAAAAAAAACAGTCTGTTTTAGTTTGATTTTTTACGTTTCGATAAAAATATGTTTATTCTAGTATAAACTTTTAAAAGTTTCTAATGACTCAAAGACTTATCTGTGGACAAAATTTCAATCTAAAATTCAGTCGTCGAGATTTTGAGCAGTTTTAAAGTCATAGGATGAAAATCCAGTAAAACATTCATCATGCGACAAGTGAAGATCAGAAAATCAATTCCAAAACAGATTATTTTATTACTTATCATGATCAATTGAATAGCTATGATTTCAAGTAAAAATCGATTTAACAGTTGTGAATGTTCCCTTGTTAGATGCATACGAATAGTACCAAAAAATAGCTGACACTGCAAAATTTTTCTTGTTTTGCCTTTGCCTATACACTTCTAAGTTTTTCTTTTAGTGATGCATAAAACGAAAGTAAAAGATTTCATTGTTAAGATTATGTCAAGAAATAAGTTCAATCATATCGTTTTGTATTTTATCATTGGTTTTCATTTTTCATAATAGAAAAATAAACAATAATCTATATTTTTAGCTTTAATACCTTTAACTAATTTTCATGTTGATACTGGTATGGGACTTGAACGTCTTGTTGCTGTTCTCAATGCATTTGAATCAAATTATGATACGGATTTATTTACTCCACTTTTCGATACTATTCATTCATACTGTCATCCATCATTTTCAATCCCTGTTTATTCTCAAGCAAATAAAACTCAACAATATGCATATCGTTTATTAGCCGATCATGCAAGAATGTTTACAATAGCTATTGGTGATGGTCTTATACCAGAAAAAAAAGGTATTGGTGGTTTATTAAAAAAAATGATTGAACGAGCAACACGTATTGCATATGAATATTTACATATTGATGAAGAAAATGTTGCTATTTTATCAAAATTAATTCCTATTGTAACAAATATTCTTTCGCAAGCATATCCAGATTTAAATGAGAAATTAAATCGTACAATAGAAATTGTTAAATATTGTGAATTAAATTATATGAAAAAATATCAATTAGCTAAACCATTACTTGAAAAATTTATTCAAGATAAAATTCAAAGTATTTTTTGTTTTTTCGTTATTTTAAATCAATAAGATATTAAATTGTTTATTTTTTCTCTTAAGAATCAGATTATTTTATATCGGGTAATGATATTTATCGTTTATATGCTGGTAAAATTAATAATATAAATGTACCATTAGAAATTATTGAAGATTATACACGTTTATTTCCATTAATTAAAGTTGATTGGTTAAATTTTGATGAATTGATGCGTGAAGAAACACGTAAAAGTAAATTATTTTCAATTTATAATAAAACAATAAAAACAAATGAAAATATATCTCAACATCCCATTGATAAAATATTTGATTTAATTAAACAAAATTCATCATTAAAAGAAACAATTGATGAACCATATAAATATCAAGTAGATAAATCAATAAATTCTGAAGTAAAATTAATTATACAAAAAGATGATAATAATAATAATAATCAATTAAATATTGTTCAATCAATTGATAAAAATTTTAAATATTATATTCTTCTTGACCGAACAAATTTTTATTCAACTGGTGGAGGTCAATCATTTGATCATGGGATAATTGAATTTTCTAATAATCTTATTTTTCAAATTGAGTAAATATATTTCATAGTTTTAATTTAAATTATTGTTTTTTTTTTTTTCTATTAGAAATGTTTTTCGTCTTCATGAATATATTATTCATTATGGTTATTTTTTAGAAAATGGAAATATTAATGATAAAAATGTTCTATGTCATGTTGATATGAAACGAAGATTAAATTTAAGTCGAAATCATACAACAACACATTTAGTTAATAAAGTTTTACGAGAATTATTAAATGATTCGAGTCTAATACAAAAAGCATCATTAATACATGAAGATTATTTTATTTTTGAATATTCATCAATTAATACAAATACGACAAATAGCATTTTTGAAGAACTTGAGAAACGTGTAAGTTTCTTTATTTTTTAAACTTGTATTTAAAAAAAAATTTTCACATAATATGCTGGGGTAGTGTTTGTTCTATATCCCTTCGCTAAGAAACACCTGAAGAGCCGTTTAGATAAAAAAAATCTTTTCGCGAAACAAAAAATTATTTGTCTGTTTGTTTGCACTGCACATAACAAATCGGATACTCACTTTGGAAAATTCCTGACTACACTCCTAATGATATGTCGGGCCAATTTTCGTTATCATCTACGTTAAAACCACTATGCTTGAACGTCAGTACTATCTAGTTATGGATTAGCCTTGGATCATTCGCCCGTTAGTATACATACCGTATTGTAACGTTCATTTTCTGCTTCAATTCATCCTCGCGATATATTTTCTTGGAGAGAGGCGTTATGTTCATCATGTGTAAAGCAAGCCTAATGAACGAGAAGAAATTCGAGTCAGACCAACCTTATGTTCGAAGTTATAGTTTGCTGATTATTCAGAAGATGGTGACCACTTCTTCTGAATCTTGTCAACTGTTGGAAACATATCGAGCCTGCCGAAACAGTTTTGGAAACACTACATCCGCAATAGTACCCAAGAGGTGGGGTATCTTTTTTGTCTTGGATTTTAATCGACTGATAAATTGTCGACGAGAATCAATCATTGACGAAGGCAAAAATAAGATATCTCTAGAGACTTTCACGAACTATCATAAAGACTTTTGTCTACTGATTTATTGAGTGGTGTTCGCTGTTCAAAAATATCCAATTTGGGTATCTTTTTACATATATATCTACAAACGATTGAATACCAAAATTTGAAAAAACACAATTTTTTGGAAAAATATTGGGTGTTTTGAGTTTTAACTTATTATAATTTACAATTTTGTAAAAAATTAAATTCTCTAGAACACAAAAAAGTCAAAACTCTCATCCAGAGAAGTCATGAATAACCGGAAAAAACTTATTTGGTTAAATGCAAGCAATATTTTTTATTTATTCAAGTTGTTGCTCACAACTAACTAGTCATAAGCTACCAAAACAAATTTGAACGAGTATAAATCCGGATTTTCCGATGACTTCTCAGTGAACGAAAATTGATCCGACTTGTTGTACAAAGACTTTTCTTACGTAGGTTAACTAAGAGAAAGTTTTTTTTTTTTTTGTTGAAATTCATTCCTTATTGAATTATAGATACAAACTGATTAGGACACTATTTTAGATGACAAAATCACATTGAAGATGAAAAGAGAAAAAATTAAAATTTTTGTCGCTCCTCCGCTGAATCTGCACTGATGTGAACATTGTAGAAAAACAGTAGCATGCATTATATTTTAAAACCGATATTAATACATGACAATGCTGAAAGTATTAAAGTAAATTCAAAGACATATCATCGCCCAATAGTCTGCTCTTAAAAAAGTCTTTCAGTGAAATTTCTATGAAAATAATATGTAGAACTTATAAACGATCATAACAAAAATATAAAGTCTATTCTTCTTAAACAATTAATCTCGTGTCTCATATAAACATGACAGAAGAATGATTCTTTTCATACTGCTAAGATTGTCTTATGAAACACGAACTAAACGGAATGTTGAAGTATATAGGACAGAAATCTATACCCTCTTCAACAGACGGTCTTCATAAACTATGACAAACGTTCTTAATATGCGATTACGGACCGTATATCAATAGTGGCTCGTTACAATATATTGCCTATTACACTCCTTAATGCATTTCTGGAGAATTAAATAAAAGACGAATGAATAAATGTGTTCCAAAATACGTAGAAAAAACAATCTCCCTATGATTAACAACAGCAGAGCTACATCGTGTTTAACATTGAAACTCGGCAAGGATTTCACTAACAGTTTTTTCTGCTTATTGTTGATTTTCAGGTCAATGAAATTGTTCGTCTTAATCTTCCAATATCTATAAGTTCACATAATTATAATTCAATTCGTTCTGATCTAAATATATATCGTTTATCAAATGAACTTTATCCTTCTGATGTTCGTTGTGTTAATATTGGTTCAACATATTCACGTGAATTATGTTGTGGTACACATGTATCATCAACAAATGAAATAGAAGATTTTCTTATTGTTCGTATTGATTCTAAAGGTCAAAGTAATAAACGTATTTATTGTTTAACTGGTTCATATGCAAAACATGTTCGTAATTTATTTAAAAATGATTTTGAAAAAAAATTTCATTATCTTGAAGAAAATCAAAATCAAATAACATTAGATGAATTATATAATGAATGTCGAATATTACGTGAAATATATCTTGATGAAAAATCTTTATTATTTCCATTTAATCAACGTTTTAATTATTTAAAACGTTGGTATAAAATAATGCCTGATAAAAAACTTCTAAGAAAATATTTATTAAATCAAATAAATAAAGATTTAAAGAAAAATTTTATTCATTCAAATGTTGATTTACCAATATATGATATTGGTTATATGTTATTACGTTATGATGATGAAAATCATATACGAAAACATCAACCATATGTTATTTATGTTAATTTTTATCAACAAATTATAATAATTTATTTAAAAAATCCACGTCAACGAAATCAATTCATTGAACATATGAAAAATCATTATCATATGAATATGTTAACAAATTTTGAAAATTATGATCAACAAACACGAGATTTATTTACTATAACAAAAAAATTAGTTATTTTTCAACCGATTGATAAAGATACATTTGATAAAATGAATTTTCAACAAATATGTAATGAACTTTTTTCAACTGTTTTTTAGATATAGAGAGAAAGAAAGAAAAATTTATTTAACTTATATGGAAGCTGGTGAAACAATGGTTGAAACTATGCGAGCAACACCTACACCTGTTACAACGGCAAGTAATGTTACAACAACATCAAGTGATACACATGAAGGTATTAAACAATATTACATTCAAAAAATTGAAGAACTTCAAGTAAGAATTAAAAAAAAATAGACAATTGAAAAGAATTTTTTTTTTTTTTTGAAGTTCAATGTCGCAGAAAAAAGTCAAAATCTACGACGTCTACAAGCAAAACGAAACGAATTAAATGCTAAAGGTAGGTTAATAAAACGTTCAGGTTCGAGTTTACTTCATGCATGAGTTAAAGAAATGTATGAAACTAAGAACTTTAATTCAAACATAATAAACTTATTCACATATTGTTGTTTATCTTTTTTTCTACTCTGTTTGATAGAATAAGTTGAATTTTACCAATGTAGCAATATTAATATAATTCTAGTAGAAATTTTGTTGTAATGTTAATTCAAGTAACTATTAGGTCAAGTTTGATAGAAGACAAGAGAAACCAAAAAAGGTGTTCGCAAAATTTGTTTGAGATAAAAATGTAAAAAATGATGGAGAATCGCTTATATGATGACTGAGAATTCAATTACAGGAGTGTGTCTATCACTAGAGTCTGTCGTTCCACTCTAAAACTTGATCAAGTCCTTGAATCGATTCAGCGGATTCTATTCTTAAATTAACTGTCAATTATGACTTGATTATTATAAGATCATTGTCAAGGTTGCACGAGAAATGTTGCTGAATACAAATAATCGATAAGGAAAAAAAAATATCTTGCATCTTCGAAATAGGTTGCATATTTAGACTGAAAAATTTCGTTGAAATAAGAAGTACTGCTTCAATACACAAATTTTGGATCCGACGGGTTCTATTTGTTACGATCTGGGATGAACATTTACGAAAATATCTATCATGAAGTGTTTAACCTAGATTTTCTCTTCTTGAGAAGTGCTTTAAAACTAGTTCGATGTTCAAAGGGACGTCGTTCCGTCAATCTGCACGCTGAATATAACACTGCCATCATCACATCTGTGAGGGAGGAAAGTTCAAAAAAAAAACTGTGCTTTATATTTCAAAGTTCCTTTGAGATAGTGTTTTACAAATTAGTCGTATTGTGTTCAGATGTAAATTTTTCCAATGTTATCATTACTTTTCTTTTTTAGTTCGAATGTTACGAGAAGAATTACAATTATTACAAGAACAAGGTTCGTTAGTTGGTGAAGTTGTTAAAGCTATGGACAAGAAAAAAGTACTTGTCAAGGTAATCAATTATTTAATAAAAATATAAGACTAATATTGATAATGATTTAAATGCTTTCAAATCTGAAAACGATAAGATTTTCTCATTAATAAAAAAAAAATTGATTATTTCTTTTATGAAATCAAATTTGAAATTGTTAACTTAGATATTTAATCAGTAAATCATTTTAAATATAAAATCTTAATAATGTTTTATTATCTTAAAACTAAAATTTGATTGATTGTTCTTTTTAGGTACATCCCGAAGGTAAATTCGTTGTTGATCTTGACAAAAACATTGATATGGCTAAAGTAACACCAAGTTGTCGTGTTGCACTTAAAAATGATAGTTATACATTACATAAAATTTTACCCAATAAAGTAAAAATTGAAAGAAAAATTTTGTATTTCATTTTTAATTAATTATTTTTATTTTTAGGTTGATCCACTTGTTAGTTTAATGATGGTAGAAAAAGTTCCTGATTCAACATATGAAATGGTTGGCGGTCTTGATAAACAAATTAAAGAAATAAAAGAAGTTATTGAATTACCTGTTAAACATCCCGAATTATTTGATGCATTGGGTATTAGTCAACCAAAGGTTTGTTTTTATCTTTTTAATTATTTAATTTTATTGAGATAAATATTTTCTTTTTTTTTTAGGGTGTCTTACTTTATGGTCCACCAGGTACAGGTAAAACACTTTTAGCCCGAGCTGTAGCACATCATACGGAATGTACGTTTATTCGTGTATCGGGTTCTGAACTTGTGCAAAAATTTATTGGCGAAGGTTCACGTATGGTTCGAGAACTTTTCGTTATGGCTCGGTAAAAATAGAAATTTTTAAAAATTTTTATTAATTAATATTTCAAAAAAAAAATTTAGTGAACATGCTCCATCAATTATTTTTATGGATGAAATCGATTCAATTGGTTCAACACGTGTTGAAGGTAGTTCCGGTGGTGATAGTGAAGTACAACGAACTATGCTTGAATTACTTAATCAACTTGATGGTTTTGAACCAAAACAAAATATTAAGTAATAATTTAATAGTTTATGTTTTTTTTTATCGATATTACTTATTTTTGTCAAACATAATTTAAAAGTAGTATTGAATTATCCAATAGTATATGCGAGAGTGTCCCAAGTAGACAACCAACTTGGGAAAGTGACTGAAACTTCATAATACATACGATAATAGATAGAGAAAATCTACATATATCTCATCCGTGGATCAAAAATACTTTCTTATTGTATTTCTGGATGATTAAGTAAAAGAATGGTCAAGAAATGTGTCCCAAAATAGATAAACTATAACAATTCCCCTGTGATTAACACAGTAGCTGTATTGTGTTTCATATTTTAATTTTACAGGGATTGTGTTAACAAATTTTTATTTATTTAGAGTAATCATGGCAACTAATCGTATAGACATTCTTGATCCCGCTCTTCTTCGTCCAGGACGTATTGATCGTAAAATTGAATTTCCAGCACCAAGTGAAGAAGCACGTTTAGATATTCTTAAAATTCATTCACGTAAAATGAATTTAACACGTGGAATTAATTTAAGAAAAATTGCTGAAATGATGCCAGGTGCATCAGGTGCTGAAGTTAAAGTAAATATAAATACCAAAGCATATGTATTAGAAAAAAAAAATTTATCTATTTAATCATTTAGGGTGTTTGTACTGAAGCAGGCATGTATGCACTTCGAGAACGACGTGTACATGTAACACAAGAAGATTTCGAATTAGCTGTTGCAAAAGTAAATATTTTTACTTTTTGAAATATATTTTCTTAAATAAATATTCGTTTTTTTCTTTTAGGTTATGCAAAAAGATTCGGAAAAGAATGTTTCATTAAAAAAACTTTGGAAGTGATCAAAACTACTTTTTTTTCCTCTTTTATCTTCAAATTTATTTGCTCTTGACCCATTTTTTTTCTGTTTGTTATTATATTAAAAGAGAAATAAATAAATCAAGAGAAAAACAAAACTTGAATATTTTATTCGAAAGATAAACATTTAAGAGAAAATTAATGATGAAGAATGGATTAGATTTTAGATACAAATAATTTTTATTACGATTCAATGAAATGAAATAGACAAAAAAAAAAAGAAATTTTCTTTTGTCATTTTATGATTAGATTTAGTTTTGTTATGAAAAGTGATTCAATATTGATATTGATCATTATTAATATCAGATTTGTTCATTTTTATTTTAGAATTGTATTAGTTCGACTTATTCAATAAATTTTGGAAACTTCCAATTACTCTTTTGTTAGAAAACTATTTTAAATACCAATAATCTTCATGTAAATATGTTATTACTTTTCAAAATAATTAACAATTGAATATGATACTCCATTCATAAACTTACGAGGAAGCATATCTAACTGTCGCACACTGTTCAATCCTAGATTTTGCTTACGATTAAGACTCAGTGAAACTATCAAAGACCTAAAAGAGTTCGAATCTATCTATTATTCAGCCAGAATTCTGATCGTTTTAGTAAATTTTCGACTTCCGAACAAGTTATTTATGGAAGACTTATTTAAGAGATTTTCATCAGAAATGTTGTTCATAAGCAGGTCTTAAAATCATTAGAGTATCCTACAAATTTCAGTGTACGCGAATGTATTGTTCTTTTAAGATATCGAGCACTCAACGAATGTTTATATAGGGTGTTTTTATAACTTCTAAATCTCAACAAAAATTAATTTATATACAGATAGAGAGTGATCTCTATAATTGAATGGATCTATATGAAATTCGAATATTCGTATCGATATTTGAAATGACATGATATTAAGTGATGTCTTCTCTTGTAAGAATAATACAATATTCAATTTTTCGAAATCTACCAATAAGATTTTTTATTAAGAAAAAGAAAAACATTATACTTGACGACAGATTCAAATAGTAACTGCCTGTTCAGATATGAAAAGAAGTTCTTTTTTTAATATTTGGTTAAATATGTACTAAAATTTTACTCACATATTTATTTTTCACATGAATAGTAAATACGTAGACATATTACTTGTAAAGTTATAATGAAAATCAATAAAATATAACAGAATATTCAATCAGAATGTAAAACTTCATTTGAAGTATTTTTAATAAACTGTTAATGCAACCCCTGTGGAATTAAAATACGAAATACAATGTAGTTACTCTTGCTCATCACACAACGGTTGCTTTATCTATGTATTTTCGGACACATTTTTTTCATTACCTTTTTAGTGAATCCTCCAGAAATGCAATAAGGAAGTAGTTCAAATATTAGAAAGAGATATTATTTATATCTAGTGAGAACATCGTTCCAATCTTAAGTAGAAAGTCAACAAAATTATACCTTTTTTTTAATTTCTTTGATAAGAAATCATGCAACTACGACTAAGTCAGGAATACATCTCACAGAAATGTCCATGTTAGAGCTGCCACTACCGCGGTGCTGTAAAAGCAGATTTTCAGCTATGATGAACATCTAACGCGTGATCGATGAAGAACAGAACATTTTGATTTCTTGTTTGTTTTTGAAGATAATAAGCACAGTTTATAGACTCTATTCTAAGTTCAATCGGGGGAAAGCTTAATGCTCTAGACAGCTGTCGACTTGAGCTTCCGGATGAGTTTTTCCTATCGGCGAAAAAATTGTCAACCATCTAGCTGCATCTGTCAGAAAACAGAATAATTAAGTAAAACAGTCTAAATAACAATTTCCGCGGAATTTGAATTTTGAAATTTTTGGTAAAAACATTTAAAAGAATAAGTTTGTAAGCAAAAAATTAAAAAAACAACACAAAAGACTCTTATCTGAAATAGATATGTCATTGTTTGTTTTTTGACTTGGATCAATCTAAAGATTTTCCTTGTTCAGTTAAAATGTGTCATCATTTTGTTTCATGTTTAAATTCTACGTCCGATGATATAATAAGAAACTGTTCATAGACCATAGTTGAATTTTGAAAACATGACTTTCGAAAGTACATTCAAAACGAAATATTGTTAAGAGTTAGTTTCAAGCTTTTTATACTTGAACGATATTATATTAGGAATCTTGCAAAGATCTTAGAAGCATAGAGTAAACATTTGTCTACCTATTGAAGCTGAATCTTTTACATGTTGCATCAAACTTGATGCGTACAAACTTATACAAGAAGATAGATCTTCGAAGAAAATAATATGAGATCGCAGTTGGATAGTTTAGTACCTGTCCATCTTGTTAATTCTTTATCAACAAGATAAAACTTATTTACAAAAATAAAGTCGATAGTTTTGTAGAGCAAAAAACTGTCTATCAAATGAACTTAGAACAATAGATTTGAATAGTGTTTCCGTTCTTCAAAAAAAGAAGAAAAGCATATCATTCTTTATGACCCACTCGTTGTTTCTACAAAAAAGACGAGCACAAGGTGAATTTTCCTTATTTTGAATATTTGCTAGATTGTTCCATTGTTATAACTGTATTAATAAATTGTTTGTATTTTAGATACAAGCATGGAATTACGTTTGTCACTTATTCGCTCACCTCATTATTCAGATACAATTAACGTTGATGAAGATTTGCAAGATTACTTTAGTGAACCACGACAAGTTAAATTAAATGAACAGATTACCATTCGACCATTATTACAACCAGGTACGTGAAAATTTAGATAATGATTTTATTTATTTTGTTTTTATTTTAGAATTAGAAGTACATTTTCTTATTTCATCGTTAACAAAAGATGATATTCTTGTTTCATGTGATAATTGTCGAATTATTGTTGATACAAAAAATGTTCGTCAAGAAAAATTAACTTCAACGTAAGAAAATAATCATATGTAATTTTAATATAAGCAACCATAAAAATTTTATATCGTTTTTTTTTTTGTAGTTGTTCTCAATCAAATGAAACAATTGTGTTTATTAGTCAACGTTTATGTCAAATGTTAACAACGTTTAATATTCAATGGTCAAAACAAACATCAATACCAACAATTCTTTTACATGGAATTGATGATTTTAATCCACTTGTTGATTATGCTTGTCATCAATGTGGATACCATTGTCATACAGTGAATATGAATCATTATTAAAACCATATTATCTATTGTATGAATAGTTTAGGTATCAAGTCAATTATTTGCTGGTGATTCTGCAGCAGCAACAATCAAACGTATTGAACAATCAATACAACTTGCAGCAAAATGTACACCATGTGTACTATTTTTCAATCATGTAATATTATTTAAATGAAAATTTATTTTGAAAAAAAAAACATCGATGATGATTTTAGGTGAATTTCTTATGTAAATTAACTGATGTTGAAAATGATGATGCTATTGTAACGAATGGTCTTCGAAAATTCATTCAAACTATTAAATCAACATTAATTAATAATAGCCCTTTGATTATTTTAGCAGGTGTTTCACGTCTTCATTTACTTAGTGAACAAGTTTTGAGTCTATTTAGTTATACATTATCTATACCAGTAAGGATTTTTGGTATTAATTTATAGTATTAATATTTAGCATAATTTAAAGACCATTCCTATGGAAATACGTAAAGAATGGCTTCGTAATCGACTTTTGAATATTTTAGTGGCAGATGATTTTAATTATGATCTTATTTTAGCTCAAACGAAAGGTCAGATTAAAATTTTAAACAATAAAATTTATTTTAGAAATAACATATTATTTAGGTTGGCCAATAGTTGAAATTGATCAATTGATTCGATTAACAATTGAAGCTGCATATTGGCGATCACTTGAGTAAAATTTAATAGTTAATTTATTATCTTTTCATATTTATAGATATTTTTTTTTCAATGAATAGATCATCTGATATGTTAGTTATGTTAACCAATGCAGATTTTGAAATAGCATTAAAAAAGAGTCATTCATCAAAATTAACTAGTCAACGTAAAGCAATGATACCTAATGTACATTGGAGTGATATTGGTGGATTAGCTATGGCTAAAAAAGAAATTTTAAATACAATTCAATTGCCATTAATTCATCCTGATTTATTTGGTGATTTAGCAAGGTAAAAAATTTTATTTCAATAAATATATATTATGAACAATATTAAAATTTTAATTTTTTTCGAATGTAATTAGAATTTAATCACAACGTATCGATTATATTAAACATTTCTATAAATTAGTTCGTCACTGTGAAAAATTATAAAACAGGATATAAGAGTTATATGCAAATTTTCTATTCGTACATTGACAATTGAACGCATAAGTGACCGTAAAAAGAAATATTCTCCAAAACAATGCTCATGTAAAAAAGCAAGCGTATCTTGTTTGACTTAGTATCATTCTGAACTTACAAGGGAACATTCTCAGGTGTTAGAGCGATTTTGAGTCGGAACTTTGCGCCTCTTGTAGGCCTTGATGAATTATGTCTACCGTAAAAAAAGTTCGTGTCCCTAGCTTGTTCCTAGTGAGATATCGAGGTTTCAGTGAATTTTTCCGATAAGACCCCACATTTGCAGCAAGGCCACATTTTTGAATTTTGATCTGAAACTTTGCCCATATAAACGTCTCAGCTAGACTCGTTTGCATAAAAAATTTCAGAGCTTTTGGACAAAGTCTCTCCGAGATATGAAGCTTTCAACGTATAAGCCGTTTTCCATAGATAGCGTATAAAGCATGCATTTTTTGAAAGCTTCATATCTCGGAGAGACTTTGTTCAAAAGCTCTGAAATTTTTTATGCAAACTAGTCTAGCTGAGATGTTCATATGGGCAAAGTTTTAGATCAAAATTCAAAAATACGGTCTTGCTGCAAATGTGGGGTCTTATAGGAAAAATTCACTAAAACCTCGATATCTCACTAGGAAAAAGCTAGGGGCACGAACTTTTTTTACGGTAGACATAATTCATCAAGGC